GAGGGGAATGGCAGGGATCCTCCAGGTCTTACCAGCTGGCTGCTCCACTTTGTCACACTTTGTCTTAATGTATTTCCTCCCTTTGGCTGTGGTTGCTCCCCTGACCCTGTTCACTGGCGTGAGAAAGACCCTATCATACTTTCTTTGCCAGACATACAAGAGCAGGAAGAGGGTGGGAGAAGAGTGAGGGAGATCTTTTCCATTTTTATATTGTGTGGTGTCTGTTGGACATTAGAATGTAGAGAAATGGATCTGTTCATCAATAAACAGATATGAAAAGAAGTTACTTATTTCATGATTCTGGTAGTTGATAAGCCTGCAGCCATTTATCAAATTTCCACTAGAAATAAATGTCTGTTGTCATTTTCTCACTTTCAATAACATTATACCTCTCTGTAATTTAATTTTAGCTGTTCATCTCAACTGCTATCTTTTTTTTTTTTTTCTTTTTGAAAGAGTGAGCTTAAAAGAGAAAGAATAATTTAACGAGGCTTCCCCCTTTCTTTGGCAAGTCAGCAATATAATTGTAAAACCCACCAAATTAATTATTTGTATTCATAAAAACAGAAGCAGCCCACTTGCGTAACATAGAATAAACACCAAGGCATCTAATTTTCAGTGGCTTTAAATTTGTGTTTGATTTTACAGCAACACTAGCAGCATTCTCCCAGCTTGCTAACCTAAAGCGTCTGCTACATTTTTCTGTCAACCTTTGGGAGACTCCTTGTCCCCGCCCTGCGTGCTGTGTAGAGGAGATGAAGGCCTTCCTCCCTCATCAGCAAAACTTTTCTCATAACTCTAGAAAGCATGAGCTGAAGCTCTTCAGTCCTTCAGCAAGCATGGCTGGTAGGCAACCTACTGGAAACTTTGTTTAAGTGGAAGAGGTTTTTTACACAATTTGGTAGAACAGTGAATAATACCATCTCTCCATTAGCACCCACTCTATCCTGATAGCAAATTAACATTATTCTAGACTACTCCCACACTTTCAGCTTTCAATATGACTGTGCCTAATTATACTGCATGGGTTATCAGCAGCAGAGCTGGAGCTTTTGGTAGTCAAGTTTGGGATAATTGGAGTTTGAGGTTTCTTGGAAGGTGTGGCAGAAGGTTTGCAGTAGGAAGACAACTACCTGCTACAAGTACACAGGTTTATCTACCTCTACCTGGAGGTTTATTTAGATGACCAGAAACGAGATGGTCAGTGCTTCAGCTGCCACACCAAGGTGCATGGGGTGGCTTTTTCCTATCAGAGCTCTAAGTGTCTCTCAAGGGTGTGTATGGACTGTGAGGGTGGCTGTATCTTTTTACATTCACATTTCTGTTTTGACATTTTCTCCATTCTTCTCTTTCTCCCAAGAAGGCTTAGACAGTCAGAACCTGGCCTATAGTGAAGAAAGGAGGCACTAAGCCAAAAATCTTATGTTAGAGCTTTTTAAAACACGGACCATGTTTTCTTACATTTGCATGAAAGATAGGTGAGGATCATATCATATATGTGATCCATCACAATAGCATATCTCTATGCTATTAATGGGGTAAATTCATCCTGTTCCTAATGTGACAGACTTCTGAGAGGGAAAAATCACTGTAGGTTGAATCAGTTTGGGTTGAGGTCTGCAAGGACACATCTGTTACCCCTTGTGTCTTAAAGCCTTGCCTATAACCACCCTGCTCCTGCACAAGATCCTCTTTTAGCTGGGATATTCTGCCTTCTCCTGTAGATTCTCTAGTCCAGGCCAAGCAGTGGTGCAGCTCTCTGTCTTGTAGCCTTGCAATAGATATTTTTATCTGAGAAAGAACCTGCAGGCTGGAGTCTTCCTCCCAGGCAGGGACTAGCCTCAAGCTTTGTTCTTGACTGCCTCAATGCTCTGTCTTCTCACCAGCTGGCCTGGGGTGGGCAGCATCCCTTCCCTGACATGCTTTTGAAAGAAAGTAGCCTCATGAAATATTGCTTGGGCATACCTGCAAGATCTGGGTGGAATTTTGGCACCTTCTGGCCTCTGTCTGACTTACAGATAGTTTTTTACAGGAGGAGGTGCTGGACTTCTCCAGAGTAGGAGCCTCTAACCCTGTACCAGTGCATGTGTTTAGATACCCAGTAAAGTCTGCAATTCAAAGTAGAGGCATAGATTGATTTTAGGACCCCCAAGGCTAGTCAGAGCAGCAAACTAAAGCATTCAAATATTTGTTAAACCTCACAGGCCTTTGTTCCCATGTGGTCGGAGTTTCAGTGGAGTCTGGCTACAGTGCTCTCACCAGGGTGTATCTAGTCGGGCTGAATTACTGTGTTTCACTGGCAGGAAACAGGACAAACCCGGTTATCCCAGTGCCTGGGATCCTTGCAGTAACGGAACTGCTGAGGTGGAATACATCTGGATCATCCCAGTAAGAAGTCCAGTGGGGTTTTTTTGCACAGGAAGTAACATAGGTAAAGATGAAATTCTCTGGCAATCCCAAATCTGCTTACACAAAGATCAGCACATGAATGACATATACCAGATAAGCACTTAAAAAGGAGGGCTTTCTGCAGCACCTTTTAAAATGGACCAATCTCCCCCTACTTGCCTTCTCCAGATCTGGCTTTGGAAATATTTGCAACACGTGAAACTGTAATCATCTCAGATGAGAAAGTATCTCAGCTCTACAGGGAAGGTGAAATTCCATCACTTTTTGTGATGCGAATATTCTGAAATAGGGAAGGCATTCCTTCTTAGCCTTTCAAAACAGATCATGAGATGTAATTACAGTAATTTTACTGCACAGCTACAAATACAAGTACATGGAAGGTGTGTGGGCAGTTCTGTATGGATGCATGGCTAACAAGGGATGGAGGATTTGTAGATCTTCAACTTCCAAACCCTGGATCAGCTCCAGCCCTGAATACAGCAGCAACAACTGTCAGATATGTGACAGAAGAGATCTCCTCACATCATTATCTTTCTAGTGACAGTGGTCCATCATTCTTTTCTCAGAAGATTATCCACTGTCTAATTACCTCCTTCCCCCCTCCCCCAGTTAGGAAATTGTGTCCTGTTCTTCATCTCAGTCTGCCTGAAACCATCTTTTGGGTACTGAATTCTTCTTTTCCTTTTGTCAGTAGTACAAGAAATTCACCCTGTTTTTAGATTTCTGTATGCAAGTATCTATACTCAGCGCTTGAGTCACATCTCAGCTTCTTGTCAGTGAGCTAAATAAGTTGAGCTTTTTAAGCTTAAATCATGACTTGTTTTCCAGTCCCTGGAGATACTTGTGACCCTCTTTTGAACTCTCTCCCCCTCTCCGTCCTCATTATTTCCATAACTTTTCTGAGGTGTGGACAACAATGTACAAATAGTCATAAGCAGTCAGACCAAGGGTGTATCTAGCCTAGTGTCCTGCCTCTGACAGCACTTCCCACAGGTGCCACGGGAAGGTTAATAACAGTGAAAACAAGGTGCTGCTTTCTTCCCTGCTACCTGCTCCAGCATCCAAGTGATGTGCTATGCATATATGCTCTTAACCTGAACAGGAATCACTTCCCATTTTCTGCTTGACATTCCTGGTTGTATGGATCCAGGGACTGCCTTCACATATTTCTTGCCACTGCAGTGCCTCGGAAGCTCATGTTAACCCACTGTCTGTGAAGTATTTGAAGTGCTCCACAGAGCTGCAGCTTTCCAAGACAGATTACTAGCTCTAGCAAACAAAACTCAGTCTGATGCAGCCAATACGCAAGCTAACCTCTTGCCCTTGACTCTCAAGTCCTTATCTGGAAAGCCATTGTGTGTTGCCTCCTGCACAGGTTGCACTGCACTAGGATGTGAGTTTTTCCAGAAGGAAACATTCTGCACCCCCAACATACAAGTTAGAGTGCAGAAGGTGAGAAATTAGTATTTGACTTCAGACTGCTTCCAACTCTACCTGCTTTTCATCTCCTATTTGTAGAGTAAGCCTTGCCTGCTTTCCAGAGATTTTAGTACAAGGGACTCCAGCCTACTGTAACATTCCTGCAGTAATATTACCTGAAAGCTTTCAATGAAGTGTTGTAAAAAGTGTGAGAGCTACTTAAATGAAATAAAATCTATAGTCAGCTCTTGGATTTTTTGAGACTATCTGCAGAGAAGCCTTACAAAGTAAAAACAGCACTGACTGTCTTTCTAAAAGAAAACTGAGATTCTGTAATAATAGCATAATTCCTCTGGGTATTAGGGCATTAAAAATAACAGCAACATTATAGAAGAAGGAATGAATTGGCAGTAATGCCACCATTTCCTAAGTTACGAATGCATGCGAGAGAAATCTTGCTACATTCACATCTCTGGGTGTGCAGGTGTTTCCACACCATCCCCCATTTGCTCTGGTATGCAGACACACACACCCCACTCTCCTTCACGCAGTCTCACCTCTGAGTCCTGGCTCTGCTCCTCAGCATCACAGGCACAGGCAGATACATCCCAGCTTCCTTTATCTGCAGCCGTTGCCTGCACACAAGACCTACCCCCTCATCCACACGTACATATCCCAAAGACAGTGAACACACACCAGACCCTGTACTTGTACACAGTGTCACTTAGTATTTTGTCCTTGAGATGGTATGAGACACAGAGGGTGCCCGTTGTCCTGGCACTTAAGGTGGCCAAATACTTTAGAGGGGGGATTTCAGCAGAACGCCTTTTGCAGCTTGCTGGGGTGTAGCAGCTGCCAGCTAGGTGAGTATAGGTCTGAGCTGCTCTTTCCCAAATCGAGTAGCTGTGATGGATTATATTTATACCTGCACTATTCCAGCCTTTGACAAACCATCCTACACATCCATTATATTCATATATTAGAAGGCTTCAACCTAATATTTTTTTGAGCTGGGCATATGGGAACATGATTACATCATCTTTATTTGTTTTTCTCCATTCACTCTCACTCCTCCATTCTTCCCTCTCCCCACTGTTTATCATTTAAGGATCCACTAAAATATTACACAGTGTTTTTTACTCATCACTATCTTTTTTTCCCCTTGTTGACAGATGCTTATCCCAATTCTGAAGTGATCTATGTGTGGACTAATAGCACCACAACATCTGTGGTGGTGGCCGAAGATGGCTCGCGACTTAACCAGTACCACCTGATGGGACAAACTGTAGGAACTGAAAACATCAGTACCAGTACAGGTAGGAAGAATATTTCCAAACCATGTTTTCTGACAACTGGAGTGGGAGGGGAGATCCACAGGCTCTGGTTATTTTGCAAGGAGGCTAGGGAAGCATCTGTGGGACCCGTGGTACTAGGGAAATCCTGTGCAGGTTACTTAACAGAGGCAGTGAAACACTGAGAGGGGTTATCTGTGGACTCAGGTACATTACAAGGCTGTTGCTGAAGTTGCATCCAAGCTCCTGCTATTTAACAGGAGTGTTGGAGAAGCTGCACACAGCTTCTTGGCAACCGCCTTTGCTGAGGCTGCCAGTGCTATTGCTGGCTTATTTCCCTGTGGGAGGAATCACCCCGGGAGGCAAACGCCACCCACACATTTGATCCATTTCAACCGTCGCTTTAAAGCGATTTGCTTGATGAAACCGTGCAGGAGGACAGAGCGGAGGGCAGGTGGGGGCCGTGGCATGGGGCTGTGGTGTGGCTCTGCAGCGTGTGCGGGAGAGGAGGCGCAAACCCCAAGGATTCCCATTTCCTCCTGGGCTGCAAGCGGAGGTGCCAGATGTAGCAGCATTAGGGAGGCAAAGAGCCCTTAATCCCGGGCCGGGCACCCACTTGAGCCATGCCCCCCTCGTTCTTAAGGCTCCCATGCAAGGGCAGCCCTGGGCGTGCATTGGCAGGGGGACTCCTGGGGTGGGGGGGTCAAGGCCTGGACAGGGATTACGTGGGTTCAGCAGGACGGGGGCTTAACCAGGTTACACAATGCACTCAGCTGGAGAGCCTTGGTGGCATCCAGCGTGCGGGGAAACAAAATAGCCTGCCGGTGAAGGAAAAAGGGATTTCCACCGCAGTTGGTTGCGTGGGGCTTGGGATAGGGAAAAGGGGCAGCCTGCAGCAGCACAGCTGGGAGAAATTCCTGCAGGCAAAGCACAGCAGAGTCTTCTGGTAAGGCGCTGTGTCCGTGCTGAAAAATAACGGGCTCTGAGCTGAAAACAGGATTGTAGAGGACGGAGTATAGATTGTTAGGAACCTGTTACTATCTTCAGGAAAGTTAGGAGATGTGAAAACAGGTACACATACGTTTGCACACAAAGTTAGCTAGACCAAAATATGAAGAATTGTAAAGCTTTCTGCTCAAGCTGTCCAAACATGGCAAATAAAGAGGGGGCAGCTGGACCTGCAACTTACTCTCCAAACAGGACACAAACTGAGGGAAAGCTTGTCTTGGACAGGACAGGGGAGCCACTAAACACAACCCCCATCTCCATCCTATAGAGCTTCACCCCCTCCCTTGCCCATTTTAGGAGACACAAAGCTGTTGCTAAAGCAAAGATACTTAAAAGTCAGGAGAAGCTTATAGACAGAGTCAGAGCAGCCACTGCTGCAGACAAGGATGAGCACTCTATCTCCCATTAAAGAGGAAAGATGCTTTTTTCCTTACCAGTTTACCATCATAGCCGCATTGTTTTCTGCAATGAATGGCAGCTCCCCTCTCGCCTTCATTGTTGCCAAGAAAAAGATCCAGAGGATGTACTGGCACATCTCCTACAAGTTCGTCCTGCTCCTCAGAGCAAGAAAATCATCCACCCCAGGCAGCGAGTGCTCCAGCGTGTCAGCTCCAGGCCACTTCCAGTTTGCAGCTTTGCCTGTGAAAGCAACTTGTACTCCTCAGCCCAAGGAAACTGGGGACTCTTCAGGCAAATCCCAAAGTTTCTGCCCAGTAATGACTGTATTTTAAGATTTGGGCTAATAAATGGTTGTTTTCCAATGTCAAGATTTTATATTATTGTCCCAGGTTACATCTGGGCTGGCTGGATTCTGATTGCAGGGTGGATCACAAAGAGCAGGACACAGATTGTAACCAGGGATTAGCAAAATACAAAAATCCGATTTTGCACAGGGAAAGCATCAGTCAGCGATGGATTTTCTGGACTTCATCAAGCTCGTAGGAAGCCAGTAATCAGGGTTACTTATGAACGGCAATCTAAGCCATTTCTTCCTTCTATTGAATTGTTGAACATGAAAAAGAAAAACCAAATAGCTGTTGTACAAATCTGAGTGCTTGGATCTTTTTGTGGGTTTTTTGACATGAGTCAATCTAATACACAGCTCTTGCAGTTGCATAGTCAAAATGTCTGTGTGTGTCATAGGACATTTATGCTCTCCTTTCAAGCAAACTTTTTTTTTGAATGGGAATGCTGGACCTGCACTAATCCCTCGGGATTCTGCTGATTTTTTATGCCACTAAGTTTGGCTGTCTTCTCAGAGAAAATATCCTGGCACTCCCAATTCTCTAACCAATCTTGAAACTGAGAACATTTTAGCCATGCAGCAGAAAATAGCTCTGACATGAGCCACCCATTTGTTTCAGGGTTTTTTGTGCTAACATCCCCAAATGTCATTCCCCCAAAAGAGAAGATACTTGACTGCTGCTCATGCTGCTTCCAACAGGCCCAAAATCCATTATGTCCTGGTAGTTCAAGTGCTGAAAACAATCAGATACAGAATTTGTGTCTAAGTGGATCTTACTGCTTTCTGCAAATGGTTGCCCAGTTCTGTTCCACATACCCAGAATCTCTCATCACTAACTTAAGATCTGCAGTGCCACAAAACAGAACTAAAACCCACTCTTTTATCTTCTGCCAGCTGGAGCCTGGGCTCTGAAATATCTAAAGCCTAAATAATAAAAGAATCATTCAACCCTTCATTTTGCACCAAATAATTCTGGTTTTCCCTTGATCTGAATCTTTCCCCTGCATCACTATAAAAAGAACACTGGTGTTTCTCATCAGTCAAATATTCTGGATGTCAGTGTGGTCAGAGATGCGATGTCACAGATCTAATGTCAGGATCTTGCCAGAACAGCTGTTAATACACCTGAGTCCAGGTATAGCCAGTAAATGAACAAGCCTGGAGGCTGGTCCAGCCTCATTAAAATACTCTATTGAATCCCAGCATAATGGCAATGCAAGAATGCATGTAAGATCCTGGAAAATTTGTAATCATAATCTCTAGAACTCAATCATCTAGATACCAGAAAAATGCTATATCAACTTTCAAAGCATAAAAACTCCCTTAAGACCAGCAGCAGCACAGTAGCATAGCTGTGTGAAGAAATGCAGCCATTCCCGCTCTAGGGCTTTTCATTAGTGCTAAATTTGTTATTAAAATTGTTTTGTGCAGTGATGAGTGGACCCCATCAGGAACAGGATTCTCTTTTAAGTGCATAAACCTGTAACAGAAATTAGCTCTTGCTGAAGAAAGCTTATGGTCTAAGAATAAACAGTGGCCTTGAAGAAGTAAAAAGGAGCTTTGCCACTCCAACAGAGCCAGTATTTTGTTCTGTATAAACAAAAGGCCAAGTCAAGCAGCTTTTAGCTTTACTTTACTTACTAAGCAGTGGTCCCAGGACATTAAAAACCAAGCTGTGGGGTTTTCTTAAGCCCTAAATGTGCTGAAGGAAGCATTCCTAGTGTAAGCATTTTTGAAAGGGACAGCATGGGAAATCAGAGAAGATACCAGTTGGAAGAAACGTAAGTATAAAATCAAGGTGATAGCATTATTTCAATGGAGACAAGAGCTTTGATATGTTACAGAAAATGATAAGGTATAAATCAGCTTTGGAGGGCCATCAAATTGTAGGCATTCATTTTCTGCATTTTAAGAAGGAAATAAAAGGGTCCTGTTGCTCTGCTGAAGCTGTGTAGATTTTTTTTATTCCAGCTCCAAAAGCATACTGTCAAAATCAATAATGCACATCATCACTCCTTAGCAAGCAGGGAAACTGTGACTCAAACACATCCCAGTGCAGTAGCAACTCAGAAGCAGATTACAGGCACATAGACTCTGCTACTCCTGGCATATTTTATGGGTAATCCACAAATTAAATGGTCCTAAATAAAGAGCAAGTGGGATTCCTCCTGAGACCACAGCATGTTCAGCATCCCTGGCTCAAAATTATAGGAAGGGAATTAGACATTGCTTCACAGGGATTTTCTCCCCAGTTTTACAGCATTTCCTGTCCATCTCCACATTCTTCTTCAGGGAATCATTTCACCAGAAAGTAAGACTTCAGAAGAAAGTCATAAAGATTGAGGCAGGCTGTCAGGTAAAGGTATTTCTATGCTATTCCAGGGTGTCTAAAATCCTCAGCACAAACAAGGTCTGTAAACTTCATCCAGAATAACAGACCTCCTCTAGCATATCAGTGCATCTATACTTGCAAAAGCCCTTTCACTGTAGACCTGTTCTCCGCTAATTAGCCATGTTGTCATTTGGAAATAATCTGCCAAATGTAACTGCTTAGCAATGCTGGCCACAGCTCAACTTGGACTGTTCACTCAAGGCAGAATCAGTCTGGTTTATATTTTCCTTTTGTGGCTGGTCCGTAGAGACTAACAGTTAAATCTTGCAGCAGAGATTATAGCTATATTTGTTTTGTTCTTGAAGGACAATATATATTTCAGAACAGGCATTACTCTGATTCATCAGTACCCAGCTGAATGATGCATGCTTTTAAATTGATTTGATATCAATGTGAGTGGAGATCTATAGGGCTTGAAGGGATTGGTTGTTTTTTTATTCTTGCTTTTTTTTTTTTTTACTCTTATTTTTCCTAGGCAAATAGTAGCCTGTTTTTAGCTAGCAAGATTTTGGCTTTGGGGAGCAGTTCCCATCAATGAATACCCTTCAGTAACAGTTATATGGTTTTCCAGGAACAGTCTGAAAGAATGACTTGAGTTTTGATTTTTTCTGAAACATTAGGGAAGGTGACAGCTGGTCTGTCGATTTAGGAGTGCATTTTTTTAGGCTTTTATTGAAATTCAGAGGACCTGACAAAAGACAGATTAAGGCAATGCTGTGAATTTGGCATATAAAAAAGACATGGAATTTAGCACTGCTGTGGCAGCTTTCAGTGAATTCTCCATACAGTCAGTAAAATATTCATTGCACAAGTGAACAAGACATGGCACAATGTCTATCCAGAAATAGATGATCTTTCCAATGGCTAAGGTGTACCAAATTCTAGAAAACCTATGTGCACTAGAGGGATTTTTTTTTTTTTTTTCTGGAGGAGCAATCTGACAGGTTTGGGTACTCAGATCAGTAAAGATATCCCAAGATCCATGTGCAAAGCTGCAGTTTTTGCAGCAACAACACTGGGACAGGCAGTCCCTCGAGTGTGGTGCAGCAGGAGTGTCTGGACATGTTCTCATTCTTGAAAACTGATGGCTTGACAATAACAGTTGCTCTAATGAGGTTAAGTCCTGCTGCTAAATCAGGTTTCTAAGAGTAGATGGCCTTAATCATTACTCTTGTAAGACAGTTTGTAGGACTGAGGCAGTACCAGCAACCTGGATTTTTTAAGCCTGTGAACATCAAGACATCCCAGGTGCATAAAAGAACTGCAGATTTTCCTTGCAGTAGGAGCAGTCAGTCATTGTCTTCTGCTATTGGGGACTGAAGGTGAAGACTAGCAGGATCTAGCAGCACCTCTGTCTCAAGTCCTGGTTTTCCACACCACAGAAATCCAGACATTTTTCATGCAATTGAGAATGGCTGAATGGTATCCCCAAATGGAGGGGGTGGGGTGTGGAGCTGGCCTGCTTAAGTTCCTAAATCAGTAAACCTTTCTTACTTTACCCACATGCACATTTTTCTTCCTCTAGGCGAATATACTATTATGACAGCCCATTTTCATCTGAAAAGAAAAATTGGTTATTTTGTCATCCAGACGTACCTTCCTTGCATTATGACTGTGATCTTATCACAAGTGTCGTTTTGGCTGAACAGAGAATCTGTCCCTGCTAGGACTGTCTTTGGTGAGTATCCCACTGTCTCCCAGCAAGTGGAAAGCATCAGTCTGGCTTGTGGAAGTGATTTGTTCTAAGAAAACATTAGTGTGCTAATGCTTATTTCTGCTTGAGATGTTCTAGGTGTTCCCTTGTTCCCTTCCAGTTTAAACTCAAAATCCATTTAAAACCACTGTCTGGGCTTTTTTTTGGGGTAAAGTTATGACAGAAATTGCACAAGAATCAATTATATGAAGGTTAAGGACAGAAGACAGACAAATCAGATTTGTGTAATATTTTTTTTTTTTTTTTCCAATCAGGTAAAATACTGGATGGTTTAGAACAAAACCCCATACATATGATTGTATTTAGTGTATACTCTAGCTAAGCATTTGAAACAGATTTCACATCAAGACATTTTGTTTATATTTTTTAAGATGTTTATCTGGGAAAACCATGTAGAAGTTAATTAGTGACAATTATCTCTATTACCATCAAACAAATTAATATGATTTGGCATTTAGAAAATGTATACTTATTGCAGAAGTTGTAATGGAAAAACCCCTCGGGATCTCTTAAATTACTCAGTTTATCGCTAGAAGATTGCAGAAAATAAACAGAGTCTTAAGTGAAGGTTGATGAAATATAAAATTTTCACTAGATGAAAAATGAGGGAAGCAGGAACAGTTTCTTATGTAAAACTTCATTCCACTGTTCTTATAGGAGTCATTCTTCTGTACAAACCTACTGAAATCGGTCAGTATCTTTGATCAAAAACCAGTTCAGGAGGCTGTATGGGAGAATACAGGTACCGGCATCGCTTTGCTGACCAGTGGTACCCATTCCAGGTTTACAAAGCTGTAACTTAGAGCTGAATTTTGTCCTAATGGGGGCATCCTTCCACAGGTGAAAGTAGTGGCAGCTCTGTCATTTACGGGCTTATGGAAAAGGAGGAGCTACAGTCAAGAAAATCAGTAACAGCCAACAATTTCATACATAAAATCTCCATATAAGAAAATAAAATCAGTAATCCCACTTTATTCTGACAGTTACTGTTAAATGGGTTGCTCACTGATTTTATAATGTACCACTTAACGAGGGACATTCTATACATATCATGCATCAGTGTACAAGGATAAAATACCAGTAAGGTTTTGGTTTATGTAACAGCTGGGTTTGCATTATCCTTAAAAATACTTACATAAATACACTATAACTAGAGATGGCCAGAACACCACAGAAGTAAACCCCTGAGGGTGGAGGCTTTCATTTTTTCTCGGAAAGCAAAGCATCTTACTCTTTCAGACTGTAATATGCAAACACTGACTGACTTCATGTGGCCTTCTTAGGTATCCTGCTGAATTGGGGCATGCTTCTAACTCATTAGGAAACTCATAAGGGTTACCAGTCTGATCTCTGCCTCTTTGTTTTTTTTTTCCATCTTTACAGGAGTAACCACAGTCCTCACCATGACCACCTTAAGTATCAGTGCCCGTAACTCTTTGCCAAAAGTGGCCTATGCTACTGCAATGGACTGGTTTATAGCCGTCTGCTATGCCTTTGTATTTTCTGCATTGATTGAATTTGCAACAGTCAACTATTTCACGAAGAGGAGTTGGGCATGGGATGGCAAAAAAGCCCTGGAAGCTGCTAAAATCAAGGTGCTTACCTTACATTTTTTAATACCTAGAAAAAAAAAGCAGGTACTCAGCGTAGTTCAGATAACTGAGTGGACAATTTTTAGCTTCTTCGTGAAAAAGGTATATTACCTCATGACATACTTTCACCTTCCTATAGAGGAAAATTTCCAGGGAAATATGCCTTCTTTTCTTCATAGAGATAGTCTATCAGTCTCTACCACCTATATATGAAGAGGACTGTTTTCAGAAGAATATAGTGCATTGAGTACATATGGCATGGGATTTTAGTGACCAGACTTCTGATAATAGCAGACATATACTGTGAAACGTATCTTTATGAAGCACTCCATGTGTGCTCTCACAAATAAATGACAAAGCTCACACTGAGCTCCATAAGGCAGAGTTCCACCACAGTATCTCCAGTATAAAAAGAGACCAAAGAGCGGTTCTGTGAAAACACAAACTTTTGAGTTTCATGCTGAAATGAAAATTTTGGCATAGGACTGACTCTTAGCAAATGATCTCCTAGAGAGATCTTGTACCTGCAGGCATCCTGAAAGAGCAATATAAAGAGGGCAAGCTGTCAGGGGCAATGAGCCCTTCAACACGTGCCTTGCTGCAACCAGGAGGGTGAGGTTTAAATCTTAGCAGCTGCTTGCAGGGCAGCAACCTCTGCAGGTACAGGACTGCATTGGCTTGACAAAAGAACCTGCTATGCACATGCCAGGTGGGATCCGGGGCTGGCTGAATGCTCTTAGCTTTCTCTGGCATCAGGGAAATTTTGACCTGACTAAAGGCAATAAAATGAAAGTAGAAGCAGATGTTTGGTAGTCAAAGAATAAATGATTACAGTACTTCGAATTTTGGGTTAATAGCTTGAGGTGTTTCCACTTTCTGTTCCTGCAGTCTAATATATTGTTCTTTACACTGCAGAAAAAAGAGCGTGAATTGCTGGGAAATAAATCAACTAATACTTACAGCACTGGGAAGATGACCCCTGCACCAAACATGCCAAAGGACTCAGCCCCATCTGTCATCTCAAACACTGCATCTGCTCCAGTAAAGTCTGCAGAAGAAAAGCCCGCTGAAAGCAAAAAGACTTACAACAGCATCAGTAAGATTGACAAAATGTCCCGGATAATTTTTCCAGTACTGTTTGGAACTTTCAACTTGGTTTACTGGGCCACATATTTGAATAGGGAGCCTGTTATTAAAGGTGCCAATTCTCCAAAATAAACTGAAGGACTCTAAAGCCACATGTGAGCCATACTTACAAAGCAGATGCTACCAAGGAAAATTTGAGATCCAGATGACTTTCTACATTTGGGCAATATTCTTCAGGAAGTTTTTTGCATGTTTAATAATATGTACAAATAATATTGCCTTGATTGTTTCTACATGTAACCTCAGATGTTTCGGAGACGATTATACTACTTACAGCAACAGATCTTTATAAAAGATCAGAAGACATTGAACATGGCTTCTTTGCTGATGAGTATCTTGCATTGATAGTTTACAAATAAAATAAGTTATATTTTTTAACTGTTCAAGTGTACTACATATCGTGGTTTTTATACTTCAGATGTATAGTCATACAAATATAGGCTTAACCTATATTTTACAGAAGAGCTCCGCTATTGTCATCTGATAAGTTACTGAGTAACTCCAGTTGTAAATGTGCCAAATTATTAAGTGTAGGGCTGTGTCTGAGCACCTTTACTGGTTATAAGCAGTGCATTACTCCACAGATAAAACTGCTCAGCCCAATTTTCATTCAAAGTTAATCCAATGCAGTAAATCCTAATGGGGCCACGCTGATTTTCACGGCTCGAGCCTCTAGCTTGCAGTGAAGTAACATAGGGAGCAGGATGCTACTTGTGTAAATAAAGGTGGTGGAATCTTGCCCTTAAAAGAAAATATGAAGTTTTTTTTGATTTTGCATTCCAAGGAAATTTCTCAAATAATTATCAGTATTTATTCCAAAAATTAGAGATATTGCATGAAATTAACATAGATTAGGAACATACTTGTGCAAATAAAACTTTTAACAACAGCAGTAGACATTTTTATTAGGGTAAAGTAAATTATGTTTGGACATTTTCCCAAGAAGAAGATTGTGTTATATTATCAGAGATTAACAGTAAATCTGCAATAATTATTACTTGTTTCCCACAGCAAAAACCAATCAGCCAACACTAAGAAGTGTGATCAGTAAAAAAGATGTGCTTCACAACAGCAAGGTGTTTCAGTGACAATATTGACAGAAAGGTCTCTGTACTGTCCATCTGAAACTTTTCTATAAAACGCCTTGCTGCTGCCAATGTGTTTTGCTTTCACAATGGATGAGAAAATGCAATCTGAGTTTTCAGCTCCTTCCTTCTTGGCATTCTTTCCTTGTTCCAGAAGCTTTTGTAATTTAATCTTAATGTTTAAATAAAAAAGGCATTCAACATTTGATTGCAAAATGTCATTCTTATGCTGGTTATCCTTTGAGAGAGACCAAAAAAATCACAAGAGCTGAATTGGAAAGCACGCATGCATGCTCTTGATCATATGTGTGCGCATGACGCATCTTCACTGCTCCCCAGAAAGATACATACTGAGTGAGGACAGTGAGTTGTGATGTTTCAGAATTAGGTGCTATCTTGCTCTGGAGCATCAGCCCCATGTTCTGTTTGGGACAGAGAGAAGAGTTAGTGCTTCACTTTGAGGTGAGTGTCTGGTCCGGGACTGGGGAGCTCTCTGGGCTGCTTGTGTGTCTTCTCTTCATCTCCATTCCTAAACATTGACAAGAAAAAAAAATCTCACACACCTATTCCTTTTTGCAGTGTTTTGTTTGATGCGGTGGAATTAAAAATTTGGAAATTCTCAGTGGCCATAGAGAAGCCACGGGACTGAGGGGGTGACTGGAAGCTGGTAAATAGAAGCAAGGGAGGGGCAAGACCATCTATTAGTTGGTGCTATCCTGAGCCAAGGTGAAGATTTGGATCTCTGTTTCCATGTAGGTTTCCCATGTGGCTTTGAGCAGCCATGATTTCTTTGGTTTTAAAAGTGGGATAATGGTATCTGAATACAATGAATCTGGCCCTTTGGGGATCAAAAGCAGTGAAAAAGTGCAGAGCCTAGTGGGAGGCAAAAATTTATAAAGCCCCATGGCTATAGCTTTTCTCACATGTAGGTTATTCCCACAAAAAGGCTGGAGCCAACAAGACCTCCTGTTTTCTCAGTGAAGAGCACATAGCTTTTGCCAAGTCCAACAGGGATGCAGTCCAGTGAAGTGCACACACATTCTACTGAGTACCCCCAGTGAGTCACTCACTGAGCATCTCCGATATAGCTAGAAACACCTGGGGACTGGTGGAGGGGAGCAGATCTTTCTGCACATGCAAGACAGACACTCTCAGTTGCAATCTTTTCTGCCTTTCCATGTTGCCATAAAGATGTACAACAAATGCCATGCTAGCCTCCTAGACGCCAAATATCTAGTCGAGGAGAGGTGAGCCCAACATGCTCTCAGGGCTAGCAAACACAACAATTCCTCTTAGTCAGGATGAGCACACCTGGAAAACTTTTCTTCTAAGCATTTCACATGAATACTCATTCCTCCTGTGGCAAGGCAAGGTGACCATGAAATGAATGGCACAATAGGGTCTTGTTAATCACCAGGGGAGACTACCTACAGATGAGCATTTGCTCACTGCCATTGAGTCTTTTCCTGTGGCTGATGATGATGACTGACACTTGTTGGCAGATTGCTGTGTGTCAGGTAACAGATCTGGACAAGGCTTCTTGCTAGGAATCAATTTACAAACAGCTTGCTATTTCTAGTCTTACCAGAATAACAGATGAGATGTAACCCTAGCAACATCAGCGGCACAACATAATGCACCAAACTGATCTTCTTCAACCAGGTGTCTGAGGTGATGGATGGGCTGCTGAGGACCCATCAGGAGACAGTCCACTTGATGATTTGCACTTTTTTTTTTTGACCCCTTATGTGTATACATGCTACTGTATTGTTGGCAGGTATGTATCAGTACCTGTAAGCTCAGTTCTCTTCCCAACCACTCTTGCAGCCTACAGGTGGCACAGGCTCAAGCTTTTTTATCACATTATTTATGACAATATTTACAATTACAAAGTTGGATTCTTAACACTTCTTCCCCTCAGTTACAGGAAAAATGTGGGTTTGGTTTTGGTTTTGATTTTTTTTTTTCCCTACAGGAAGATCAGGTAGTTGTAAGGCTTCAAAATAAAAGAGTTATTCAACAATGATATTCGAAAGATTAAGAAACTAATTGGACAGCCACTGACCAAAACCAGTTTCTGTGGGTTCAAGTTTAATTTGGATCATGGGACTTTTGCACGATTCTCTAACCAGATTGAAACTATATCACAATCCTGAGACGCTGATTGCTAGAAGCTAAAATAGTGCTTGGGAGGTATATCATATATACATGCCCTTTTCCTCTTCAAAAACCCCCTGCTTGTGGCCTCTTTCAGAGGAAGGATATTGGGCTATCCAGATCTTTGTCCTGACCCCATCCAGCTACTCAGCAAATGTTCTTCTACAAGAGAAGACTGGAGAGCAGGAATGCCTGATCAGACCTTAGGCCACCAAGTACTTGTGACAGTGGCACCAGAGTGCTTCTGGGACAAAATGGAGCCTGCATTTACTACGCTGTTGAAAACTGTGAACAACCTGCGAGCCTCCAGAAGATGCTTTCCTCAGACTTCCACAAAAAGACTCCAGTGTGAGGTTTTTCCCTCCATGAATGAGAAACTTGGAGCTATCTTTAAAGCATCTTCTCCAGAGCCATTCCATCTGCTCTGAGGGTTTTCTGTGCTTTGCTTTATGTGCTCACACCCAAGTCTGACTCTTACCTTAGTGGCTCAGCATCACTTTCTGGTGTCCATTGCAGGACTCAGTGCCAGAACCTCTAAATCTGACCTATTTTACTTACATGGAAAGTCTCCTTGTCTTCACTGAATACAGAACTACCTGCAAACATTGGAGTTGCACAGTCAGAGGATCAGGCCTTTTGCTTTATTTTAATAAAACAATTTATCAGTTTACCCAATGTGAGGAGGACCTGATAATTACCTGTCAAAGGCATATGGCACCACAGACATTCTATACATTCATATACTATTATTCACATACATTCTATACTTTCAGTTATATTGTCTATCACTTTCTGTGTTTGACGGTAAAGGCAGAAAATTATTAGAGCTCATTCTGTTATTGTGGATTTGCTATACCAAGTTGAAGTTTCCTGAAGAAAGCGTCTACCTTATGTTTTTCAGAGAATCCCACACACTCCTAATCCTTGCTGAGAACTGAAGTGACGGAAGAAAAAAGAAGCCACCTCACAGCATGTGCTCCTGCCTGAATAGCAGGTGCTGTCCCATGGTTTGAGAGATGCTTCAATAAGCCAATCGATTCCAGACTGGAATACCTAAATGCCGCTGCCTTGCACTACACAACACCTAACAATTTAAATCTCTCTGCAGTCAGCGGAATTGTTTGTGTGGGAGACCATTTACTCACTGATGTCATCTGAACTGTGGGAGATGGGAGCAATTCCCAGATCCTGGCTCAAAGTAAACACCTTGGCCTTGTCCTACTTCAGGCTGAGGTAGTATCTGGATGTGCATCAACCTCCTCTGGTTACCCCTGGAAGGAACTTGGGTCTTCAGGAGTGGGGCAAGCTGTGGCACTGCCCCAGTATGGGTGAGCTGGGACCCTGTGGGGCACATCTACTTCACAGCTTAGTCACAGCCAAAGAGAGTAATAAATTGCTTGTCATTGGGTTTTTCCTGTATGCTTTCATAAAAAAAGGAGTTGAAAAGTGAATTACAACAATTCAGCACTGGAGAGTAAACGTGTGCAGTTCTACTGCCAAATTTTCTCACTTGTGCCCATTAAGAATGAAAGAACAAGTCAAATACAATGGAAAAGGTTTTTTATTTCTGATATTCGAGCTGTGCCAGCTTACTCCAAGGATGAATTTAGGCAAAAATATATTTTCTAAAGCTTAGCCCTCTTCTGTTATCTCAAATTGTGTTCTGCTTTTTTCTAAATGGAATATGCCCTCTGTGGAATAACTAAACATACTTGTACAAAATTGAGGAAGAAATGATTTTATGAAATAATCTTGTCTTTCAAAAATTCTTGCTCAATGTATAAATTAAACTTTCAAGAAAACTGAATGAAACCTCTTTGCTATTCAGTTTACACAGTCTGGATGAATGTAGCGCTTGCACAGCTATTTGTTTTTTAAATCTGGAAATAATGTTCTTTGTAATAAGGATATATTTCCCCTAACACCCTTGCTCCTCAGATTGGAATTGACACTGAAATGTTGAGAGGAACCTAAATTTTTCTAAAGGAGTGTTTGATCAAATTGCTTGAATTCTTTCTGTCTCTTTATATGCTTTTTTGTCACTACAAACAAATATGGCCATTTCATGGTGACAATCTTAGATGACATACCTTACCAATTTTGCATCTTCCACTATTTTGTTATGGATGTTTTTACAATTTTGAAAAAGACAGAAAGAATGGAAGTTAGATTTTATAAAGCCCAAAGGACTTCTGAAGGATCTTCTTAGGATTACCACTAATTTAGACTCAAGTGTAAGTGTCCCATTCTGTACTGCATTATTTGCCTTTTCATTGCCATCCTCAAAAGCAATTATCACTTCTCTCAGTCATCATGTCTGAAAAGTTGCTGTTTCAATTGGCCTTGGCTAAAAACAAAGTGAGAAGGAAATTAAGAACGTTGATTGAAAATACCAACGCATTTCAGTTAGATGAATTTGGAGAGTTTTTGTGAAAATACCAGTAGATTGCAATGCACTGGACCGACAATGATAGGTTGCGTTTGTAGGTGGGAAGATTTGATTTACTACACATAGGGAAAAAAATAGCTGCATAACTTGTCACATATATGGTAACAAACACTGGAAACAGTCATCCCCAGCAGTCTTGGCTTCAGTCAATCTGGGCTCAGTGCTTCATTCTCTACAGATTGGTGTTGCTGAGGTCCTCAAAACCACTGCTCAGGGGTCACCCAGCCCCAGAGGTCCAGCCCTGCCTGCTCTTGGTGCCCATTTTCTGCCAGAAAGCGTGCGTGAGGCTGCTGAAGAACTGCAGCACGGCCATGTCAGGAGGGATCCTCTGTACCCTGCCCGTTGGCCAAAGAGAGCAGTGAGGCCTGTGCTGAAGGACAGAGCCAAGGGCACACAGAAAGCGTCTGGACCTCTGAGATTCAACTTTCTACCTCAAGGCAGATTTAATTATTTGTACAGCGTGGAGGGCTTCCAGTGGGAGCGACAGAGACCTTCAGTCAGAATAAACTAGCTCTGGTCTCTAATAAATCTCTAATAAGCCTCCAGCTGGAGGACTCCAGGAGCTGTATGAGACAGGTTTCAGCCCCCTCCCTGTTTGTCTCAGAGTAGCCCCAGGCCCTCCTGTGCTTCTCATGGTGTAGGTGGCAGCCTCGATCACTGGGATGCTGGGAAAGATACCAGTGACTCTTCTTCAACATTTAATCACAGAAAAGTTCAGCTGCCCAATTTCAAAAACCTGTTCAGTGCTAGAAAGGTGGCACTCACTCCAAGTGAGACACTCAATCTGTGAGCCTCATGCCCTCCCTCTGCATTTCCCCCTTTATTTATGCTAATTACCTCCCTGGCTACCTGCACAGCTGCTTTTGGAGGCTCTCGATTCACCACCCCACATAACAAAGATATCCCTTTGGTATACCTCAAGTTGAAAAGATAGTTGCCATCTGTGATAATGCGGATCCATTTTATTGTGCTAGATAATATAAACATGTTACTATCATTACGGGGTATGATAAAATGTTCTTTTGTTAAAATGTGTGCTGAATAATAACGATCCTTACCTGCATACACAATTTGAAAAGGCTCAGCAAAGGCAGAGAGTATGCATAGAAGTAAGAGAAAAGCATGTGAGCATGAAGAAAAAAGTAGAAATGATGGCGGCATGAGACCTAATAAAGAATGGTGCTAAAGTATTCATTTGGTCTTAACATATACCCAACCGAGGACAACAGAAAGAAAATCTTAAGCAACACCTTTTCTTTTTCCTCACAGCCTGAGGAGAAGACCGTAATAATTAATGAACCATAAAGCTCCGTTCGAGCCCTGGGGCTTGCCTTCACTCTTGAAAGGGAGAGCGGAATGGTCTAACACTGTGAGGGCTCTCCCAAGGACTGGGTGACTTGCCGACCACATACAGCACCGGTAACGGCGCACGGTCATCGGACAGGGGTAACGAGTGCTCTGCCGCTGGCTGGAGGCCGGGGGGGGGACAGACACAGAGAACCCTGTCCTGTCCTGTCCTGTCCTGTCCTGTCCTGTCCCGACCTGTCCCGTCCCGTCCCACCGCGCTTCCCGCAGCCGCCGCCAGAGGATC